GGGAGGAGGTGGAGCCAATGAAGCCAAATGATGATTATAAAAAATTTTATCCTTATTTTTCACAATTGGAGGAACATCAGATGGGGGTGGTCCTAAAAGGGACTTAACGGGAGGAATTGGAGCCAATGACACCGAAAGATGATTGTCAATATGCTTTCTACATGGAAAAGGAGATTGTGGACTATCGCGACCTTTACAATTATTTTTCCAAATAGGAGAAATATTAGACGGAGACGGTTTTATGATAGACTTATGATGAGGCGACGCTAATGAGATGGGTGAGCGACGATGACCACGCTTTTCCTATGGAGTACTAATAATCAACTCATAATCTCGAGCTAAAGAGTAAGCGTGATCAAGAGTAGTGACACCTCGAAGGAAAAGCTCGCGCTTAAGATCATCTCTCAGACCTTGGCTAAACCTACTCAAAGTCGTGCTCTCATCCTCAATTAAATGACATTTGATTCGAAATTCCTCAAATTGCGCGATATACTCAGTCACTAATTGATTTCCTTGTTTAAGGGCATTCCATTGAGTAAGAATTTCAAAATTATCTCGTTCTCGCTCACGAATCTGATCCTTATTCCTATCCCTATCCTTACGATCGGGTCGAAAGTATTTTTGATTACCTTGTCGACGAAGTTGTCTATTATGGGACACCTTAAAATTATTAACATCAATCGAATGAGGGATGTGTTTAAAATTTTTCGAACTAACAGATAGGGCCTTACTCTCTTCAAGAGTAGCGGTCATTTGAGTTTGAATAGCCGCTATTTGTCGGGTGAGTGCATCGAATTGTGAGGGGTTCATGTTTAAGGTACTAGAGCTAGAAGTGACAAGATGACCAATATGTAACTATATGCAAAGCAATACTACCTAAATGAAATGCAATAGAGAGATCAAGATGCATCAAGGACCAACGATTAAAACATCAATTTGAAATTCTCTCTCTCTCTTTTCTTCCCTTCCAAAAATGCAAGTTAATAGTGCTGATACTTGTAAATAATAAAGCAAGGGTCCAATGCTTGTTAAGATCAAATGGTATTGTCAAGATTTCCAATCAGGTAGATAAAAGAGGTCACAATGGCACATCAATTCAGTGAGATAAATGGGGCAACAATGGCAAGTCAATTCAATGAGTGATTCCAGTCAAGTGAAGTTTGAGGCCAAAGTTGTGATAGTAACAGCAACACAAAGAATCTAAGTGATGCACTTTTAAAATAAAACAGCAGTATAAACCAATGAGAATTAGGAGTCGCAACTCCCTGTAGTTTAGTTTTGATTATTTGTATGCCGCTTGATTTGAATTGCCAACTTATGAGCTCCAACTATGCTTCTATTCTTCCCTTCGTGTCCAATGGTTTTAACCTCTGTTGACTGTAACTTGTGTTGGCTCTGGTGTGGACGTAAACTGAGTGTGGTGACTGTGGCTTTTAGATTGTTGAGATGGACGAGGAAATATATGAGTGTGGTAACTGTGGTGGAAGTGTATGATCTTGGGTTGGTGGTGGTGGCCTATGGCGATGAAGCGGTAGTGTTCTAGATGCCTGGGTACAATAGATAATGAAGTGGTAGCGTGATGGTGATTAGAGGCGATGGCAGCAAGAGAGTGGTTGTGAGAGAGGAATTGGGTGAAACTGTGAGGTATTTGATGTTAATTGATTGGTTCTAATCGGGCTTGGTCGGATATTTGGGACTGGGCCAGATGGGAAGGGGTTTAGATCCTGTTATAGAGATGGGCCAGTTTGGGTTAGTGTTTGGAGAGTGGGCTTGGGTCGTAGAAAGTGGGCTGGGTTAGTTGGTTTGTATGGTAATTGGGTCTTATGGATTGCGAATGAGTGGGTTACGTGAGTTTGGGCTGTGTTCAATATGGGCTGAGTTTAGACTGAAAATTATGTTGGGCTGGAATATATGTTGGGCTAGAATATATGGAATTGAAAAAAATATAAGCTAGGGTCTGAAAGAGCAACTTTAATGCAAAAGGAAGCAGCAAATCAATCAAATTGAACAGCAGAATATTTTTTTTTTTTTTTTTGGTAATTTTTGGGGGAAAAAAGTCTAATAGTTTGGAATTCGGGTGAACAGTACCCCGTGAACAGTATTATTATTATTTTTTATTTTTTTTTTTTTTTTTGGTAATTTTTGGGGGAAAAAAGTCTAATAGTTTGGAATTCGGGTGAACAGTACCCCGTGAACAGTATTATTATTATTTTTTATTTTTTTTTTTTTTTGAACTAGGAAAGAAAACTGCTATCTTCCAACAAATCTTTTTCTTTTCTGCTGTTCGGCAAGGTTTGGGAATTGGGAAAGAAGAAAATTTTGAGTTGTAAGAGAAAAATACCCAAGATTTGGCTCTGATACCAAACTTGATGTAGGATGAATAAGAAAGAAAGAAGAAGGAACGGGGAGGAGAAACAGAGAGAAGGAAGAAGAGGAGAAGAAACTAGAGGAAGAGAGGGGAGGGAGAAAACGGCTGCAAGCCACCAAAAATATTTCAATTCTAATTCATCATCAACTGTCTCAAATGAGAAACAAAACAGAAATAAATAGCAAAACGCAAACCCTAAAGAGAAGGGCTTGGGCCAAACCCACTAAACAAGCCCAATAACGAAAACATAAACAATAGTCCAAATAAAATATAACTAATAGTCCAAATAGAAAATAAATAATAAATGGATGTCCGCATCACTAGGTATACTCTAGGATAATGGCTTTGGTTGGAATTTTAATCTGGGTTTAATGTCATATTCGTGGAGGAACTACTTAGTCAAAATTCGAGACTTACAGAGAGTAGAAGGAGAAGAGGACTGTTGTTGCCATTTCATGTGCAAAGCCATCACCTGATTTCATTTCACGTCTAATTTGTGCCACGTGAGATTTTTGTCCGCCATGTGGCACATTCCGTTAGTTTAGGTAGACGGAGATGAGATAGATAAACAAAGGGTAAGTACTTGGATAGATGGGTGAGCAACGGATTATGTTTTGTTGTTCAGGTGAGCAAGTAGTAATGTAAACCAAAGTTGGGTAAGCATTAAATTTACTCGTTGGAATACTCTTACTAAACAAAATCAATAATTCAAGACCAAAGAATGCTAACAAATTAGTCCTTCCATTTGCACAAATTCCAATAAAGAAGAACCAACAACACAATACTTGCAGCAATTACAAACAATACACTATTACAAACTAATGATATGTGGCATGCAAATTCTGATTCCTTTCATAAAAACTAGTAAATTGACATAATGTTGTTATATTGATCTTAAATCACAAAAGAAATACAGTAACCACTCCTCATCCTCAACTAACTGAATTGCATTCTATGCTTGCCATGTGTCTAAAGGTTAAAATAATAATGAAAAAGATAATAAGTAGGGTTTCACAGTTTGGAACTAGGAAGTCTTTTGTACAGAAGCACCAACCCCTATTAAATTCACGAAACAATAGTAGGACCCTCAGTGGGGTCCTGGTGGGCCAAATGATCCACCAACCTAAAATTCTTTTTTTTATTAGGAAATTAGATGTGAAGCCTCATTCTTTGGGAAATTATTTCTTTTCTATTTCTCGTGAAATGGAATTTGGGATCCGTTTAAGTGCTCCAATTTCTATCTTGTTTTGGCGGTTTTAATGTAACAGAATTTGCTATGATTTTTATATTTTTCACTTGAATTGATTATTTTCATTAATTGTGATGGAAAAATAATTTAAAATAAATACGCTTTTTCTTTTGATGACATAATGTTAATGAATGAATTATTTGAGATAAAAGTGATAAAAATGATGTTGGAGATAAAAATGGTGACAAACTTGGTGATGTTTGAGACAAACATAAATCTGTATTCTTTCCAAGTTTGATTGTGCCCCCAACAACTCAAAATATCCATGTCCACAATTAGGACCAGGCAGTGCGTCAGAAGGCACATCGTACAACACATGGATACGTCAGACATTGGAGGCAGAATCCAATAGACTAACTACTAAGACAAAAAAAATAACACACAATTCACAAGCTCAAAGCTCTTTTAAGAGCATAAATGCATAAACTCAGAGCCAAATTGTCCAGATACAGCTTAACCAAGGATAAAGAATAACACTAGGATGCGTTAGACATTGCAGTGACGGAATTCGATACAATAACTACACAGACGTAAAACATACACACATCATAAAGGAGTAAATTTGGAGAAAGATTAAGTCACAATCTCGAGGAAAAACGAAATAGTAAATAGAAAGGGAAAGGAACCTGGAGCGAGCAACGTTGCCGCACTTGATGCACTTAGGTTTATTTAAACCGCGGAGATTCCGGGAAGAATTTATACCGGAGGAGTGAGGTAACGCCGTCACATCGGGGGAGGCGACGCTGCTGTTACTTTTCACCGGTGAAGAGGCTGCCATTTTTGCACGATTCAATTATTACTGGTTTTAGTTTGGCTCCATTTTTATTTTTATTTTTCCCTTTCTTTCTGGGAATCAGTTTTTTGAATTAGAGATGAACGAGGGAACCCAAAACCTTTCTGATTTTTTTCCTCCTAATGTTACGACTCCCCTCTATGGCTCTGTCGGAATTCGGACTTTCTCAGGGTTTTCGTTTTAGGTTAAAAAGATACCGGGTCAAAATGGATTCGGTAATATGGTGTCAACCCGATGAATCGGGTTTGGACGATTTATTCGGAGCCACCGAAATTTCAGTCCCAATTTATGGGGCCTATATCAAGCGTCCATGCAGCAGCCCACCAACGATGTCTGCTTAGTTCGGTATAATGGGAGGAGATTTTTCTATTTGACATATCACTGTTCTTTTTTATGGAAAGGTTTATATTGTTCTTAATGAAATGATTCTTTCTATATTGCAACATATGTTCTGATCTTTAATCATTTTATTTTCTATTTACTCTATTTTGGATATTTGAATATAAAATCATTTTATAATCTAATAAATAAGAATAATCTGCAACTTTCATATCATATTTTCTTAATAAAATACCATATTTTTCAAATGGTAAATTTATATTTTTTAATTAAGATATAATATTCTTTATTTCTTCTAACATTCTTTTTAATAAATTATCTAATATTTCAATTGTATATCCTGGCATTTATCAAAACAATAATCATGTAATTGTCCTTACGATTCTTTTAAGATCTTAAAAAAATTCATTCTAATTTTAACAAAAGTTTAATAGTTTTATCTTAGATTTGATCTAGAGCTGTATTCTTAGAACCGAGTGACCTTTGAGCTCTGAATTTGTAAACTACTTCCTTCAACGGCCTCCTGCTTTCACGGAATTGTTACTATTTCAGTTACTTGCTAACACCGTATCAACTTCTAAAGAATAAAATTCTAGACTTCTGTTAAAGAAAATTCTATTTTTTCTAAAATAAGAAGGAAACTTTCTATTAGATTTTTCAAAAATCTATGGGGAAAAGATTTAAAAATTCATATTGATATAAAATATTGAAATTCTATTTCAATCAGGATTGATACGAGACTTCTATTTAGTACAAAGGGATTTTCAAAAAAACTGGCTTTTCAAATTAAGAATGGGATGTTGCTTACAACTCAAAAATTCAAGATAAGTTGTGATGATTTTCTTCTATGGTAATGTTTCTATTTATACAAGTTTTTGAGACTCTATTACATCATTGATTATATCAGCAAAGGCTCTCTTGCCTCTCTATTTTCTTCTTTGGGCTTACATCTTCACATATTGGTTCAACTTTTCTATTCAAAGAGTATCTTTTTCTATTATTGCTCTTTATCTTCAATATCTTTACATGTAGTTTTATTGTCCTTCATACACATTTGTCAAAATGTATTTTATCTTCTTCTTTCATTTCTTCGCATGCGGTTGGGGCACTCCCTTAATTGGTAAGATTCTTTTGTAGTGGTAACATCCTGAAAATTGATGTATATCAAATCTTGTAATATAGTCTTTTAATATTTCTGATTTTGCATATCATCCATTGGATACCAACTTTCAATTTTCATATTGGCACAGGCACGAGAATTTTTTATCAAACAAATTTTTGGCAATGTTGTAGATGACTTTAATTCCAAGTACTCTTCTATGTCTGATCCATAATTTTGTCACTGTTGGAACTTTTCTATTATTCTCTGTAACATCAATTTGGAAATTGATTGCAACATATCCAATTGAGATTATGTGTTCAACTGGATAGTAAACAACTCCATCATATTCTAGACTGATTGAATAGAATTTTAAAAATATCTTCCTTCTCTTGGCATATCTGGATACTTCCTTAATAAATATGTCATCAAAATTTGAAATTTCAATAAAATCTTTTCCTGGATAAATCAAATCCATGAATCCATAGTATGTCATGATTTTTATGAATGAAGAATCACCTCCTTCCATGACTTTTATTCTGGGGTAAACATTATTTTTCGGAGAAATGAAATATGAATCATTTATTTTTATTTCATAAGCGATTTTGACTATTTCGACATATTTTTCTTCGTTTGGATCTAAAGGAATTTTATCTTCTTGGTCTATGATACTGATTGTTTTGATATATCTTTTATTTCCATGTATCATAACATTCTTGGTTGATGATACAGAAATGGAATCTCCTTTATTATCAGTTGGTATGTTGTCACGTCTGGGTCCACTGCTACTTCCAGCTATCCCTGTTTGGTATTGATTTGGAAAACTCATTTCTGAGCTCTTTGGTATATCTGTTTCAAACAGTATATTATTTAGTTGTGCTGCAATAGTATCAACTTGATTTTTGAGTTCTATGACATATTTATGATGCTCAGTAGTGATATTCAACAATATTTTCATATTTGAGTTGAACATCTCTGAGATCTGGGTTGCTCCAAAGCTTATATCTTCAGATTTTTCTTTAAAAAAATTTGTCTTTTCTTGTATATGTATAATAGATTGGTATAACTCCATGACCTTGGCTTTATCCATCGGCAAATTTTATGTTTCCGCTGAGAAAATCTACAAGAAAATTATTAACTTCTTTAATATAGACTATATCAAAATTATAAAATCCTAAATAAACTTGCCATCTATGAAGCATTCTGTATTTTAGTTCTGAGGGTAACTTATTCCTGACTAATCCTACAACTTGAGAATTATCTGTTTCAACAATTAATTTCTTAGATAATAAAAACAATGAAAACTTTTTTATTCCTCTAATAATTGCTAGTAATTCATTTTCATAAGTAGTATAATTTCTTTCTACTTGGTTAAAAGGTTCCACTTGAGTATCTACAAATTTCATTAAAATATGTTTTTAATATTGCAGCTCGATATTTATCTGAGGCATTGGTATTAACAATCAAATTATCTTTTTCATCTGATAATCTTAATTTTGGTAAATTTTTGCATTCTTCTTTTAATGATTTAACTATTTCTATATGTTCTTCATTCCATCCCTTAATATTTATTTTTCTAAGTAAAATTTGGATTTTATGTCTTTTCTTAGAAAGATTTTCAATAAATCCTTCTACATAATTTAAACATCCTAAAAAATTTTAAATTTGCTCCTTGGATTCTAATTTATTTGGAAAATTTTCTATCTTTTTGGATATATGAGTTTGTAATTTTATCCATCTTTTATCTATTGATAATCTAAGAAAGTCTATCTCTTGTTTTTCTATTATAGATTTCTTTTTAGATAATACAATTATTTTTTTTTTACATTCATTAATAAATTGGATTAAATGATTTCAACGATCTTCTTTACTATTATAACATATTAATATATTATCAATATAAACTATTAAGAATTCATTAAACTTTTTAAATATATTATTCATCTTTCTTTGATATATTTGTGGTGCATTTTTCAAACCAAATGGGATAACTAACTACTCATATTTTCCTTGAGGTGTGTTAAATGCATTATATTGTATACTATCTTCTCCCATTTTTACTCACCAAAATCCTGATTTACAATCAAATTTAGAATAATATTGTTTTCTTCTTGCAAGATTTATTAGTACTTCCTTATTTGGTAGAAAGTAACTATCAAATTTAGTTTATTTATTTAATTCTTTATAATTTATAAACATTTGAGTGTTCCATAACCATAAAGGCTGGACTACTATGAGGTCAATTACTGGGTCTAATAAGTTTTTGTTATAATAATTCTTTTATCTGGTTTTTAAATTCTTGTGTATCTTCTATTGTATACATCATTGGTCTTACTCTTATTATAACATTTTCTGTTAATTCTATTTTGGCTTCTGAGTGATGTGGCTTCCAAAATAATAATGGATTTTCTCCATAAATTTTTTCTAATTGTTTAATGTTTTTTTTAATATTCATTTCTATTCCTATTTTTAGAACTTTTTTATATAATATTCTTTTATTTTTTATTTCATTATTAAGAATTTGTTTTTTCTCCTATTTATCACCACGCTGGGCTGACTGAACTCTATAAAGTTTAAATTCTCTCGAAATTTTTAATAAGTGTCCACAAGGTGTTTGTAGCATTATCATATAATTATTTTGTTTATAATATTGAAATTGTTGTATGAAATCATTTCTTAATAATATATCACATTCTAATTTATCATATTTATAAATTTTATTTATTGTTACTTGTTTACTTTCAAGAATTATATTAACTTTATCAGCACTATTAATTATTTGAGTACTTTCTCCTGTAACATTAGTTATTTTTATATTACATTATTATTCCATGATTTTATTAAAAAACTTTTAAATATTGTTATATCACTTCCTGTATCTATTAAAGTACAAGTTGTTATATTTATTTCTATAATAGTAATTTGTATATACACAATTAATGGAAAATTTATCTTATTATTCATCCAATTATTTTTACATAATGTAATTTGTCCATTATGAACAATATATAATCATTCTCTTTTTATACTATAATCTTCTAATCCGTTTAGAAAACTCATTCCTAAAAATATATGAGGGTTTATATCCATACTTCTATCTATATGACATGGTACTAAAAGATCTATTCCTCCTTTTTTTATTGGTACCTTAACTTCTAAACCTGTTATATGTACTTGTCCATCAAAATTTACATACTTATATGGTTTAGTTTTATGAGTTATGAGTCATTTGTTTCTAATCGAAGCTATATAACATTCAGTAGCTCCTGTATCTATTAATATATTTGGTCCATTTATATTTTCTCTTCCATTATAATATACTCCTTTTATTTTTATGTTTCCAGCATTCCTATATAGTTTTACTTCTTTAATTTTGTTGATTTCTTCTAACTGATTTTTATTAGGTATTCTAAAACTTTTTGATATTTTAATTAATTTTTCATCCTTAAATGTTATGTTATTGGAACGTTCTCCTTCATTTAATTTTGTTATTTCAGGTTTATTTTTTGCTATACTAAATTCATATTTTTTTTGGAATTAAACTTATTTGTTTATTTGGTTCTATTAATTTATTAATATCTTTACATTTTTTATGAACTTCAATATATGATTTATTTGAATAGATATTTCCATAATTAAAATTGGTAAATGTGTATAAAGCTCTATATTCTATAGTCATAATTTGATCACCTGGTTGCATAATATCATCTCTATGAAGCTTGAAATATAGTTATAAAATTTCTATCTTTTAATG